ACCTAACAACAACAACAAAATAGTTCATGGAAAAAATTACATTATCTTTTCATTTAATTTTTCCAAGAATTTTCTGAAGTTCCCTTACATTGCAAGAATTACCAAATTTAGACACAGAGACATGAAATGAACATATGTTGCAGGAAATATGAAGCCAATAGATTTGATTTAAGCAGGATTGCCACCAACTTGAACTAATAAAGCATGCAGTATCTATGAAGCTCAATGAAAGAAATTATCCTTGTACCTGAATTAATAGTTGATGTTTCCTTCTCTGGTCACCGTCAAATTAAAATATATGAATTGGCTCCCTGGTCCTGTCACTCAAATTTTAAAATCAAAATAGACACATTATAGCCAGATCAAAAGTTTTATGCTTTTTGAAAATGAACACAAATAACTGTTATTGCATAAATGAGAACATGAACTATTGCAAGGTATTATTTCATATTAATACAAAGTATTTTAAGATATGCAAGTTAACAGTACACTGTTCTACAGAAAAACCTTTAAGTTACTATTTAAAATTTGTAGAATAAACAGATGTATTTGGTTGTTATTTGGCCATGGGAGAAAGATGTGGCAGTCTACATTTGTAAAGATGTACAGCCTTGGAGACCCTATGAGGCAGGTCATCTCTATCCTACAGGGTCACTATGAGTTGAAATTGACTTGATGGCAATAGATTTGGTTTTGGGTTTGGTAGTTTTAAACTGATATTAAACATTGTTTACTGGCTAGCAATTCTGCTATTACAGAAATACATTGTTGTTGTTAAGTGTCATCAAGTTGGTTGCCTGTGTGTGTGTGTATATCTTTATATATCTCTATATATATGAGTCCTGGTGTGGCACTGTGGGCTAATGCATCAGACTGCAAAGTCTTTTGAACTATAAGGTTGGTGGTTCAATCTCACCAGCTGCTCCTTAGAAACCGCATACTGATTTCTATGGGTCAGTATCGACTCAACGCCACTTAACAACAATAACATATGTGTGTGTGTATATATATACATATACACACAGATACACAGAGGGTGAATCAAAAATTATTGCACTCCAGTTATATTAAAACACCCATCCATGTCCATGGCCAATGACAACATTGAGCATGCATGTGAAATGATTCTGTTGAATAGATGAATGACAATGAATTAAGTGGCAAATCATTTGCAAATCAGTCATAGCTCGGTCTATGAAATAATTCATCACAAACTTGGGTTTTGAAAACCTTGTTCCAGATAGGTCCTGAAAGAACTCATGGAAGCATAAACAGAAGCGTTTGGACATGTGCAAACAAAATCTGAACTGATACTCGAAGGAAGGTAAAATTTTCTTTTTAAAAATCATTGCTGGTTATGAGACATGGATTCATCACTTGGAGCCTGAGGGTAAATAGCAGAGTATGGCATGGAAACATCCTCAGTCGCCAACTAAGAAAAAGTTAAAAAGTCAACCATCAACTGGAAAATTGATGCATACAGTTTTCTGGGATTCTTAAGAATCAGTACTGGAACACTATCAAGAACAACATTCAATAACCAACAGTGCTTGCTACAGTAAGATGCTCACTAAGGAGCTGAAACCTAAACTTCAGATAAAATACAGAGGACGACTATCCAAGGGCCTTGTGATCTTGTATGACATTACAGGTCTGTACACATCTCCCACACTGTTGACACTCTGTAAAATCTTGTTTTGAGGTATTAAAGCATCTCCCTATAGTCTTGATCTTGCCCCATCAGACTTTCGTCTGGCTGGTCCCCTGAAAGCAGCCCTTCAAAGATAAAGATTCACCTTTGATGAAGAAGTGAAGATAGCAGTATGTTCGTGGCTTACTCAGCCTAAAACATTTTTTAATAAGGGAATACAAAAGCTTGTTGACAGATGAACAAAGTGTATTGACAAGCAAGGAGATTACATTGAAAATGATGTATTTGTTTTTTATGAAAGTTGACTAAAATAAAATCTACAGCCAGAGGGCAGATAAATTTTGACTCACCATTGTATGTGTGTGTATGTAGTCCAGGTGTGACACTGTAGGACAAGCATTCAACTGCTAACTATGAGGTTAGTGACTCAATCCCACCAGCTGCTCCTCGACTTCTATACAGGGTCTTTATGAGTCGGAACTTACTCAACAGCACTTACAACAAAGCAACATACATCATATACATATATGCGTGTATATATATATATAACCAAAGAATTGGAAAAATAAAAGAAGATTTAATTCATGGTAACATAGTTGGCTGGAAAAATGCCAGTTTGACCTCGAAGTTTTCCTTCCCACCAATCAAAATTTGAATCAGTTTTTGATGTAACTGTGATCCTGTCTCCAGCCTGAAAATTCAAATCTCCTGGTTGTTGTCCTTCAAAAGAATAGAGTGCTGTCACTTCTATAGGTTGCTGTGAATTGCCTGAAATCAGAAAAAAAAAAAAAAAAACCCACTGGGAATGTGTATACGTAAAATACAAATTAGTTGTGTAACACTTAGTAAGACACAGTCAATGATTTAGATAATGGCAGAATTCATTACATATATTTTGTTAAGTCTTCTTCAGATTACACATCAAAATACCCATCACATTACTGACATCACATTTTTCTCCTGCTGAAAGTTTATATGTTTAGCAAAAGCATTTCTCATATCTACACAAATTAGAACAAAATAATATGGCCTACTCAAGATGGCTTTATAGCAAATATTTGCTGTTAAAATTATCTTAATTTGAATAAATTATAAATTGTGGTGTGGCACTGCGAGTTAATGCACTGGAATTTGAATAAATTATAAATTGTGGTGTGGCACTGCGAGTTAATGCACTGGACTGCGTTGTTAGTTTGAACCACAAGGTCAGCAGTTGAAGCTTGGAAACCCTATACAGGGTCATTATGAGTCAGAACCAACTCGAAGGCACTTAACGACAACATAAGAAAATATAATTTATATATCTTTTCATTTAATAGAGTAGCCAGATGACTTCCATGAATTACAGCTACTAAAAAAAGCTGATTATTTATGCTTATGATTCTGTTCTCTGATATTAAATCATCATATTTTACTCTATAGTATTTGGTTTTAAGGATTACAGTACAGATGCTTCCAGCTCGGATATATTTTACTGCTACATTAGCTAAAAGTGATAATTTTTCTCTCCAGGTTTTATAGCTGTTATCTTTTCTGCTCCTATTTAATCCTATCTCTCATTGTCTAATATGCAATTTAGATGAAAAAAATCTGAAGAATATTCACATATGCTTAAAAAGTAACCCCCCACATCTCGTCTGTCAGTTTGTCATACTGTGGTGACTTGTGTGTTGCTGTAAGCTATGCCACTGAGCTTCTAGACTAAGACAGGCTAGAATGGAGGAAAGACAGACTACTTCTGAATGTTTTGCTACTGAAACATTATGAATAACATCAGAACACTCTAAGATATACTGTTGGAAGATTAAAACAATATGAATCGCACCAGAATATTGTCAGATATAGTGCCAGAAGATGACTCACTGAGGTTGGAAGGCACCCAAACTACCATTAGGGAAGAGCTGCCTTCTCAAATTAGAGTTGACCATGATGATGTGACCTTCATTTGCTGGTGGGGCAAAACTCAAAATGAGGAAGAAGAACAGCTGTAAACATCAATTAATAATCAGAATATAGAATGTAAGATGTATTAACCTAGGAAAATTGGAAGTTGTCAAAAATGAAATGGAACATATAAAGATGAATATCCTGGGTATTAGTAAGCTTAAATGGACTGGTATTGGTCATTCTGAATACAACAGTCTTATAGTTTACTAGCTATGCCAGGAACAAAAAATTCAAGAGGAATGGCCTCACTTTAACCATCAAAATGAACATTTCAAGATCAATCTTGAAATACAATGTTGTTTGTGATAGGAAGATCAGTTAATAACACTGTAATTAAAATTTACACACCAACCACTAAAGCAACTGATTATGAAATTAAAGAATTTCAAGATCAAGTGGGTGAGAAGAAACACCATGGAAAAATGCCACAGGAACCTTAGAGAAAAGGTGGACAATACACTTTGTTGGTTTTGCTTTGTTTGGATTTTCTTTTTTTTTTTTTGGTAT